GGTCAGCGCGCGCGTCGATTTTAATCATGCACGTCAATCTTTTTTTTTCCAAAATGTTCTGCGGTAGCTCCAACAGCGCCCTCTATTGCCGCACCTCCTCAATTATTTTTACCAAAGAGCACCAAGGAATGGGAAATTGCACCAAGGCAAATGATCGAGAGCACCAAGGCAAATTATGGAGGACACCAGTGTACATGAGGACACCAAAAAAAGCAAAATAGTACCCCACCTTGTCTGTACAATCCAAGCTTGAAGAAAAAAAAAAAGCAAAAAAAAAAAAAAGCCGCGTCCCCGCGTCAATTCCGGAACTTTGGTCTGACCAGAGACCGAATATTTTTTTTTTTTGGCCTTATCAAAACAGGTCTGAACTAAATATCAAGCTATTCTGCTATCATTTAAAGATTAACTCAAAGTTCCTTTGATAAATATAAATAGAATACTAGAGTTCAATGCATACACACATGTCACATGAGGTACATGTAGGTCTCTGCTCTGGTTAGCCCAATGGAATTTATGGCACCCGTAAACACCCTCAACAAGGTCATATTTTTTTGTTGTGGAGTGTTGTCCTCCAAATTCCAGAGGGGCATTTGTCACTCCTGTCTGTGAAATATGGCAGCCGTTTGATTCCATAAAATCAACAAGTATGTTTTTCAAAATTTGGGGAAAGGATAGTTGGAGGGGAACTGCATGTTTTGCTTGTGTAGTCCCCGTACTGGTTTACAAATTACATTGGTTTACAAATTACATTGGTTTGAAGTGCCGAGGCAATATGTAGGCCTACAGACGTTCAGACACCCTTGGACCAATTTAGGCCACCAGCTTTTTTGCAATGTCCTGCCCATCAAAAGGTGGCATTTTGGTTTGGGTACATCTACGGTACATGTAGGTGAGCACCACTGACATTGAAACCTAAGTAATTCACCTAAAGTAACAAAATCCTTCTCTGTTTCACTTTGTTAGAGAGGTTTTCGTACATGTAACTCTTCTGAAGTCGCACAAAGCAAACACAAAATTTGACTCTGCAGACCGCCATTTAGAAAACAATCCAGAAAGACCAATGACGCCAGACCGTGCATTACAGCTGACATCTAATGTTACCAACTGCTCTTGGGCGGGATTAAAAAAAAACAGATTCAAAGTCAACTTGGCCAAAATAGAGGCACTGGGTATCAGACTAAATCAATGCCTGAATAAATCGGAACAGGCAGCCAACATTATTAATAGAGTTGACATGCCTAGTCCCGCAGGACATCTTTAGGGAAAACTGCCTCCACAATATAATAAAGTTGTTGGTGAGGAGGCCAAATGCCGACAATAAATAAACACAACATTTTTATTTTATTAAAAGGGCAGAAAATAGGCCTAATGGTCATGTTGACTATATAAACCCATTCTGATGAGGCACAAAAAAATAGTTCACATGTAATACTAATAGGCCCCCTACGTGTAGTTTAATTCTTCCTGTTAGTACCATGTACAAATCCGTCACACTGCCCATCTAAAACTCATGAAGGAAAAGCTTCAAAGCCTTCAGAAGAGAATGAAAGACCAAACTCTGTTGTGCACAAAACAGAACTATATTGACCCTCATGGCAATCTCCACTGGCAAGGCTTAATTTTTCGAGCCAGTCTTTATTTTCATTCTTCCTGTTACAATATACAAATCCACACATCATCTGTCATGGTGCTCATTATCACAGTGCCTTGGCCAGGTTTTCCAAAGCAAGTGGTAAAAGAAAAAAGGTACATGCACCAAATTTGCATTGTGCCGCCAAAACATGACAGGGCGACAATGCGATGCAAAGTGCAGTACCTTATAATGCGGGCACACATGCCGGCACAATGGCTGTCTGATAAAGTAAATCTATCTATCAATTCTAATACCAATACGTATCCATTCACAGAAATGGAAAAAGTAGGCCAGTGAGAAAAAGGCACCAGACTGAGACTGCCAAATAATACACAATGTGCACTATGACTATAAACCTCCTGAACTGAGATTAGAGGACTGTACTTTGATCTGTTGACAGGTTACGCTATGCATACTGAGCGATATGTTCAGTAGTCTGCAGCAGCACAGTACGTCCGGGCAAAATGTACATGCTTTCATGTTCATGAACAATTTCTGTACAGGGCTCATTGTAAACGAACAACGTTCCTGTGTTGGGCCATGGTACAGTACCGGTAGGTACTCAGGTACCGGTACATGAGCTACGTGAGCTACGTGAAGGAAAATAAATAATTCACAGATCATTTACATTGATTTTTATTTTGTTTTCACAACAACAAATGTATTCAAAAAGATCTTCAATATAAAAAATAACTGTATAACACCAAGCACACTGCCATTACAAATATGTTGCAAACCGCAGTCTCAAACTTTTACACATCATTTTTTTTTAACAAGTCATTTAACTCCCTCTGTCAACCTTGCTTACTTGAATTTGACATGAACACGGAACTTCCTGTCCATTGATAAATTAATTGAATTAGTTCATTTTCTAATTTCCTGGTGGAAACAAAGAAAATAAAAGTCCCAATACATTAATCAAATTACCATGCACAAAATGTCACGTTGCATTACTTACATGCATACCGGTACGCGTGTATGAAATGAACAGTCTCAGGACGATTGAAAACAAAACACAGATGGCCAATCATTTGGGATTCCATGGTTTAGGCCTAATTGAACAAAATTGAGACGCGTTCAGCAAGCATTTATCAGGGCAGAAGTTTCTGAGAATATTGAAATCTATTTTTCTATAGTAAAGAACAAAAGCTTAAATACGTATGCACCTTCAACTAAACTTTGTAGGTTTTTATTGTCGTTACCAAAATAGCCAGGTATTTTAAGAGCTGTAAATATTGTTTGGACAGAGCATGTGTGCATAAATCAACACAAAAACACCAAAGCAACAAGTCAATCCAGCCAATATATTATTGAGTCAATCATTCCTGGAATTTGATATTATTCTTTGGGAGATGGCCCGCTCCTGACCTCTCAAAATCCCAACTCTCCTAACTTGCAATAAGACACAAGTTCCCTGTAAACACAAGCAAAGCTGCATAGCAGCCAGGCACATGTTGTATACGTACACTACTGTGGGCCCTGTACTGGACAGCCATCTGACGTTATCTATCACATAATCCAAAGCTCCATGAGTGATACTCCAGAGATGCCAAAACAGTCAACAAGACAGATTAAGATGTATTTCACCCTTGAAGATGGATGACACAAGAGATCTCTCTATCCACCAACCAAGATGAATTGTGACGTCACTACACCGGAACTAAAGTTAGACTCGCAGCGCTTAAATTCCACTCTTCATCATAGCAGGATTTATATTTATATTGTGGATGGGAACTTTACACTTGGGTCGAATTTGGGTCACGAACAGCCACCATTCATCAAGCTATTTATAATGACGGTATTTATAGGACACAGACTTGGCAGTTTATGGAGACATTGGGAGACAGATGTGGACATCAGTACAATTTGTGCAGAAAATAATTGCTTAGGCCAAACAAAAAAAATTCTGCATCCCATTACATGGCATTCAAAAATAGGGTAGGTAGGTAGGGACTTTTTTTTATTTGGCCAATTTTTTGTGTGTACGATCATATGGAGGCGTCTCTGCATACATGTACTGTACATATAGTCAAGGGTAAAAGGTAGAATTGATGGTTTTGGGTGTTTTTTCCCCTCATTTTTTCCATAAAAAAATTAGGGTAGGGGCTGTCAGAATAGGGTAGGTAGGGAAACCGGAAGCAGAACTATTATTTTTTTGGCCTTACAAAAGGCAGTAACACTCACAATGTATGCTACGATTTTACTAGAAAGTATGGGAAACAATAGGTATTATCGTACATAAAAATTGTACATTTTGACAGAATTTGTCAAACAATTCGTCGGTCGCACCATGAAGTGACGTATTGTGTGCACAAAGTCCATAGACGATACGTCACTTCGTGGTGTTTTACTAGCTCTGCAAAAACCATCAAGCAACAGGCAATTCATTTCAATTGCATCATCTGTCTAAAAGGATTCTGCAATATTCATTTCATTTTTTAATTACATGTAAGTTGAACCTTTTCATTGCATTCCATTCTCAAATAGGCATAAGTAGAGACTAAATCCTGAACACTGGCGTTTTGTGGGGAAAAAGAACTGTTTTGAAGATGCAAATGTAGTACAAATTGACCCATGGTTAGAAAGAAAGTGTGTGACAGTGTGACTGCTGTCAAAATGTGTCAAACAGGTAACAAGGCTTTCAAGCAATAAACCAATTTATGAGTTGCCAATGTTTTTACAAGACAACTACATGTACCAACAGCTCTCTTATCTCTGGGCCACACACCGCACAGCCATCAGTGACACCTCAGATGTGACTTGGCCTGGCACAGGTTGTGGGGTATTTAGCAGGAAAGGATCAAATTGGCCAGGGATAAACCTGTGGTTTGCCACAACTATGTTCAGAGGGAATCCCCTTAACCAAGGCTGGCTGGCACAGATACCAAGGTTTGGTAAGATCTGGTAATCTGAAGGATAACTCACTGTTGTACAATGTGATTATCCCAGTAATAACTAGATGGTGACAGGACGGGCTTGATTTAAAAAAAAGAAAATTCTGTCATCACACTGCATGCATAAATTGTGCAAAGTGATTACGGATTCAAACTGACCTTCTTTCCTGTACAGTAGGCTATGTAAAATTGATAGCTCCATTTCAATTTCTTTCTTTTTTCACAAGAAACTTTGAAACAAAATAAAATAGGCCTACTCTCTGCAAGAATCTGGAGTTGAAAGATTTCTGGCAAAGAAGAAAGATTACTGAAATGTGCTTGGAGTTCAAAGGATTCTTAGGTCATGTGACAGAGCAAGCAAGGTCTATGCTATGAAGATGAAGATGGCATCAACTTGATCAAGCAGTTCAACAAACCCAATGCAAACAATTTCTAATTTGTAAACAGAAATCCTAAACATTTCACTAAAAACAAGAGTCCCTAGTTTAACTCTTTGGAAATTAGACAAGTGCCCATCCACAATTTGATAAATGACAGTGATCAAATTTGTCACCAAATGTAAAAGAATGGTCTTAAAACATTCCACAAAAAAACTTGCTTGACTTACCTCCATTGGCATGTCCAGACTCTAAGGCTTCAGCGCATGCCTCTGGGTCCTCAAATTCAAAGGGGCTCAGACACCCTGCCACATCACTGTCGCATTCGCACAGCCCGTGTCGGATGTTACAGCCCGAGTGGAGTTTCTCGCACCCTTGCGGCGTGCCCAGGAGTTGGGGCCCCGAACCGGACCCGGCGTACTCTTGCGTACGGAGGTCTGGTTTCATTTCTGTGGAGAGCATATAAAGAGAGATCGCTTGAAATTTAGCACGAGTTAGTGAGCGATTAAATTGAAACATTCAATTGGAAGTACCACTTTTTGAAATAATTTCAAATTAAATCATAATGACAGGCTGGAAAGCCAGGGATTCGGAGTCTGGGATTCATGTTGATCTACAAGCATGCACCACAGCATACAGAGATAATTATAGTAAACGCCAAGTTATGATACATGAAAACGTAAGTAATGGGAAATCCTGCACCTCTTTCGTATTTTCTGTGTTCATTGCATTAAACAGATGTATGTGTGTATGTACTCGCGGAAATGTAACATTTGCTATATTTTGCTGCAAAAGCTTACAATCATTAATTGTAACCATTCGTGCAACAAATTGAGTTAATGTTAGTCACCACAGCTACCCGGTATGTACATGTACACACGGTACATGTGAACTGGTACTTCAAGTAAACTCAGTAACAAGCCCTTCACAAAACTTTTCACAAAAAGAAATCACTATTTGTTACAAGTCATTAATAATGTCATCCACAATACAACAATACGTAAATGAGTAATCAGTAAGGCCGCTATCAAAATGAAGATATCCTCTTTCTAATGCATGGAAAAGTTGTATGTGAAAATACATCCTTCAAAAGAGTCAGTAACAATTTTGGTGTTAAAAGAATTCTGTTTAGAGAAATAGTCATTCCATGATTATATATGGCCAATGGTTAACAGTGTGATGCAACAAGCATGCCAGGAGTTTATTGATCTTTGAAGTGTGAAATCCAATTAGTTGCGTAAACACTGCACTCCAAAGACTCATGGGTGGTTTTCATTACTGCCCATTAACAAAGTCATGAATCCAATTACTGGCAACACCTCAGAACACTGTGGGAAGTAGATCAGGTCTCTAAGTACTTGTTTAAATACTTAAGGCTAATTGGTGCAACTAGTTAAATGCTACATTGTAATATTGGCACCAAACACAAAGATCCAGCATACATGTTATCTAAGAAGTTGGTCCAATTGGCATCATCCCTTGTGTACATTACGTGTACATGTGAAAGCCTTGCACTGAATTGAATCACTGCCAATACAGAGTACCAGTACTTCCTTATTACAAAATTTACATGTGTACACTACAGCGAACCATGGAGCTGTTTATAGCTCCATGAGCGAACCCATATTGGATCAAAACACAATTGTCTCCAACGTCATTGCATTTGCACATTGTTTTACCTCAATCTTGTGAAAATCTATGATTATTTCTGTGATCAAATAGTTAAACCTGAATATTATCACCATGCCTCTTGATTGTCTTTTAAATAAGTTCAAGTTACAAAACTTACAACTTAAAAGTTTTGGTATACTAATATTTGGAGTGAACTAAAATTGTTGATTATTTCCATAATATTTAAAAAATTACAAGTCACAGATCTATGTTAAGTTTGTTAAAGAGACTTTCATGAGCAAATATCCAATCTAAAAATCTGACATAATCATTAATTAATCGTTAATAATCCAGCGTTTGAAAAGTGTCTTTAACTAATGCAGAGTATTGTATTCCCATCACACTTTTCTAAAGCTTCAAACACAAATTGAGGGCGCTAATGGCATTTCAAAAAAGCCCAAATTGCACAATTTTTTAATGAGTTGAAGCCGATAGAGTCCATAGTCAAGGTGGCTCGGTAACGGTATCTTTGCTCCCCAGAGGTAACCAGGGGGTGTTAAGGGCAACGGTCTCCTTAAAAGGACAGCCTTGTTCTTGCCCTGCCATCTCAGCTTTCCTCCACAAGCCTCGTGGCTGGTCTCTGCGCCTTCTCGCCTCCTTGCATTCCAGAGCTATTAGTCTCTATTTCAATTGCAGAGGAAACTTGACCTTCATCATATGGCGGCCAATAAATTGTTGTGTCTTTGTTTCGCGTTGTTTACACTTCTCCCAGGCACAGGCATTTGCCGAATACTTTGGCCACTTGGGCCCGGCTCTTGAATATGCAGACTGGTGTTGGAATGCATGAGGAGGAAAATCAAAGTTTTAAATAGGATTCTGCGAATTGATACGCACATGGAATGTTGGGGGAAAAAAAATGAAATTTTGGGAGTCTAAACTTTTTTTTAAGAAAATGAGATCCGGTCACTTTATGCAAACCAATCACCAACTTCTTCATCAAATGTTTAATAATGTTTCAAAGAAAATTTCCCTTCACTTCACAATTATCATACAAATATACATTTTCCAAAATTCAATTCCTGTTTTTGAAGTACCGGGTACCATGAATTCATAACTGTACAGCCCCGCCATGTGTGCTAGGGATTTGACATCTCCATAACAGTGTACCTTTTGAACGTGTAATTCACTGGCAAAGATTTGGCGCAAAGTCCAAGTCAACTAAAAATGGTTGAAAAAAATTCCCTTGTAATGTATCCCCAAATGGGTTTGCAAAGTACACATCAACATGAATGGTTCTCATGGGCAGGTGGTACACTTATGGACCCCCCTCCCCAGAACACATTTCCTTGCACATTGACCCCCCCAACACCTTTCCTTGCACATTTTTGGCATTGAAGGACAGGTAATAGCTTGAACTGTTCCTGTAGCACATTATGAGCCTGGGTGCAATCAACCCACCATGTGCCCACAATTGAGCTAGGCACCCTCTTACAAGACCTTGGTCTCACAAGTGTTCCCCAGTGACAGTCATTAGCCACAGTCAAGTGATTTCCAGCAATCTGGTATTATTCAACCTTCGCATTCCAACCTTCTCTACACACCTGTGCTGGGTTTTTTTTCATCAGCCTCTGAGGAATAACAAAGAATTTGGCTACGGCTAACAATTAAACATGAGTCTATGGGGGTTGCTGAATCCATTTCCAATAGACCGTAGGAAATTCTGGAGATAATTCTATGTGCTGTATCCTGAACCTTACTTCACCCATCCTTTTTTATAGCTCCATGCTTCACCTACAAATGATCAAGTTCCTGGCTGCTGTTCAGTAGTGAAAAAGTGGCCAAAAATGTGTTGAGGGTTAACGCGGCCAATTTACAATGTACATCAAAAGGTCAACCATTAGTCATCTTTCTGTGCAAACAGTCAAACTCTATTATGCTGAAAACCACTCTACTATGGATCACACTTCATGAAAAAAAATTGGCTCACTGACTGGTCACTTATGGCTTTTAAGTTGTTTTGTGCACAAGTGTCAACTGTTATAATTCATCGGATCAGTGCTCGACATCGAGTAGCTGCAATCGGTTCAGTGAGAACGTGTCTCGAACACTGAATTCAGGCCCAATTCAAAACATGATTCAGCAACAACTGATATGAAAGTGAGATCCTAGAACGCTGTTTTTCTCGGAATCTACAGTACAGCTGAAGCTGAGCTGAAACTTCATCAGGTTAGATGTTCAGCACCCTTCTTCAGATTTTGAGTACGTTTGTTGCTTCAAACAAACAAAATGCACAAATTACAAATGATGGACTATGTCTTTAATGCAGCACTGAAGGGTTGTTGGACTGGTTGTTTCAGGTGCCAGTCTATTTTCTTGTATTGCATGTTTTTAATAGGACTACCATACACAGTTATCAGCCGTTGCCAATATTTCAACATTCATGCATGGCACTGAAACATTGCAACATGAAAAAGAAAAAAAATTACCTTGGCATATTCCGACAGCTTGCTCCGGTACGGCCTCTCCGAATTCCAAACTGACCGAACAGATTAGCCCTTGGTCACACTGTCCGGCCAGGTCGTACTGACCACCGCATGATTCACCCAACTGTTTGGCACACACCAGGCAACAGGCACAGGGCCCGTAAACTTTCCCTGCGCGGCAGTCAACTTGCGGGCATGTAGATGGGTCGCAGGGACCACCGCAGGACAGGGCACCAGCGCTCGCTATGAAACACAGTACAAAAACCGAGCCGAGTGACAACGGCATGTCTGGTCGTGACCCTCTTTGGCTTGAGAAGATTTTCATTCCAAACTACGGGCCGCCTCCACAGAATGTTCTTTTGTTGTTTTGTTCCACAAGAAGCACAATTTTGCTGGCAATGAGTCCAAACTTTAGTCAGCTCATTTTTATTAGGAGAAGGGTTGACACAGAAAAATCAACAGAAGGGATTTGAAGCAAGCGGCTGCTCTTTCAACTCCAGATCTGGCAATGAAAAACAATATTGGCATTATAATATTTATATAACATTCAAAGCAGTTTGTACACATCTGTACATACTTAAATTTTAAAACTAACTTAAAGACAAAAGATGAAATATATATTGAAGATACATGAATGTATTGAGTGACTTTGTGAACAGTGTGATTCATCACACAATCACAATGGTAAGTATCCAGACGCCACTTCAGCAGTTGTGTACACAGTCTATGGAGAGTCAAGAACATTTTGAACAAAATTGGAAATGTTTCTCGGTCCCAAATTCATGTCTTTGGAAAGATTCCCATATCTGGCAATTACTAATTTTTTCCTTCAGTGACCTATCAGCCATCAGAAAGTGATAATATGTCATAAAAAGTCAAATTCAGCCGGTAAAATATTGAAGTATTTACTGAGAAAACACTAAGAAATGTTCAGACCAGTCTCATACGGTTTGTGCACAGGGTGACAAGTGATGGCCAGATATGGGAATCTTTCCCATTCTTTCCCTATTTGTTTCAATTGAATTAATTGAATATTATAACTTAGGACTGAAATTAAACATGTTGAAGAAATATTAAAAATGAACATTGTTCCTGCCTATACAGTTCTTAAATTTTATTAAAACTGAACTAAAGCACGGGTTTTGACGTTTAAAAAAACACCGCAGTCACACAGTACACGTGAGTGATCATCAACATAACGTACCTAAACAACGCTTTCCGTATGAAGTCCCAACTCTTTCAAAGATAAGAACAGTCCCCTCATCAAACGCTCTCCCGTTTAAACCTCCCTGTTTCCACCGTCTACGCTTTCAGTTGTTATGCATAATCCACGGAGCACCTTCTCTTACTCTCGAGCCCGATGCACCTTTGCAGGTGACGCTTCTAAGTTCTAGGTGATTTTAGAGGTGTGAAGGGTTCCTTTCGAAGTTCACATGTGTGTGTATACGTTCCGTCTTTTCGTAGGATAAACCGGGTATACTGTAGTACTGAATCGACTGGCGATGGCATGTGTGGTTAAAATTGCATAGCGCATGTGTACAAATTGAATGGCATACGTAATGCGTGTGCGTGCGTGACCTGCTTTTCAAAACATGCGCATTCGCACTTGTTGTAAGTGATGAGTGGATACCGCCGCCGCTTATTATTGTTGAACTCACAATGCAGTACAGATTTACACAATTTATGGATGACCGCAGACAAACAAGTGATTGGTTGATTGTGTTTGGAATTCCTGCCTTTTTTTTAGGTGGCGAACCGGCGACTTTGTGGCATGTACCTCACTGAGGAAATTCCAAGTTGTTAAGAACTTAGCATTTTGTTTGAGGAAGCGAAATATATTCTAGCTGCACACTTTGTCTCCGATAGATCATATTATTTGCGTTAGATGTTATTGGTCTTTTTGAAAAAATGCTCTCCTATCTTTGCTTTTTAATGTCATTGCGAATGTCAATTTTGTTTTTAAGTATTTGCAACTTTTTTGATATTTCTATTGTAATTTGTAATTTGGCTGCTATGGTCGAATGGTAATATTGCAAATTCAAATTCAAATTCAAATTCAAATTCAAATTCAAATTCAAATTCAAATTCAAATTCAAATTCAAATTCAAATTCAAATTCAAATTCAAATTCAAATTCAAATTCAAATTCAAATTCAAATTCAAATTCAAATTCAAATTCAAATTCAAATTCAAATTCAAATTCAAATTCAAATTTTTTTCTGAAGGACGGGGAACCCGAATCATTTTCCATTTGTGCTGGTCCCAGAGGGCAGCAGGCCTACTTAGTGTCCTACTTGCCCCTATCTCAGACGGACTCACTAATTGTCACTAACTTGAGACACACTGGTTTTGCACCGGTGAAGAGAGTCGGGCAGTGCTATCCTATAGGAATACAACGTAACGTCAATGAATAGGCTAAATCCAGCCCATTGTGTAGACCAGATGCATCAAAATACTTCCAGTGAAGTCATTCAGAATCAGTTGAATTAAATTGTGGGCGCCTATCGGGCTTGCCTAGCCCAGCTTAGAACACACATAGGGGGCCCACTGAAAATCAGGGCATGGCGTACGTGATGTTATAATGAAGCATGTTATTTATTTATTTTTTTATTTCATACATCATCCAATTATGCAATTTTGTGCAATGCCTCACCGATTACTTCAAGTCTCCAACCCAATTTCTTGTCTAAATTCAACCAAAAGTTCGGCGGGTGTGACTTGCACAGGCGAAAAAATCTTTTCAGTTTCGCTTAAAATTGAATAGAGGGCGCTAGACTATATTAACGATGCGTTGGACGTATGACTATGACGAGAAGAATGGAGCAATAGAGGGCGCTAGGCAGCAGCACTGATCAATGCCTCACAAGTTGATAAACCTATCTTCCCACCCATCTAGATCTATGAATAGAAATGAAAAAAATATTAATAAAAAATATATTTTTATATATCCGCTGACGTTTTGTTTTCAATAATTTTCTGTTAAAGCAGAACTTTGGATATCACCTTGACGACTCTCTCATTGCATCAAAAGTGGACAGAAATTCGGGTTGACCGGCTTGCAGAAATTGAAATCTCCAATTTTCCACCAGCCGAAATAAAAACTGGACAAACTGTTTCTTATGCCTTCCCCCTCAGTCCAACATAGAATACTCTAACTTATGACGCGTGACGCACTTTTCGTATGTACACTCCCCAAAACGGTCCCACTTTTGAAATTCATGTCCAAAATTAATTGGTTCATATAAAAACACTGGATCGGCTGAACTGACCGTACACCTACTTTGCAGTAAATCCTGATTATAATAACCGTAGATGATCTTGAATAACAACAGAAGGATCTCAGGGTCTAGGAGTGTAGAAGTCGCCGATAATTCCGAAAGTTGGATTGCAAATTATTAGCACCAAAGCTGAATTTGTGGTCTACAACCAGCAAAGAGGTCTTATACGACCATCGAATCGATAAAAAAACACATGAAATGCAAACAATGATTTATATAATAAACCATACTTAAATTTAGAACTGGCTGTTTTTGTGTTATTCTTGCGATCAACGAATTTCAGCGGTCAACTTCAATTTGACTCTCAAAACAATAGAGCTGTTTGGGTGCTAGTCGTGATTCCAGCACATGTTCCTTTGACTAACGTTTATAAACTTAGCACCTGGACTTAATTGTATTCATTCACCTAACAATCAATAAAACATATAGAGAGCTGGCGGTTTGGTGGCGCTACAGTGAGTAATTGGCAGGGCGGTTTGGGGCGCTATACAGTGACTAAAGGGTTCTTAAAACGCGTGTGTGTTCATCGGTATGGGCTAATTTACATTGAAAACCACGCACTGTTGTTTTCATCAAATTACCGTTGCTGTAAGTCTTCCTGGGAGTTTACTTGTGTAATTTGACCACAATTAGTAAACAAACTAAAACATAAGGATAAGTAAACATCTAAAACATAACATTTTCGGCGATTTCAGGATGATGTGCCCCTTTAAGTGCTGCTGTCAACAAACATCGCCGCTAGCTCCCTTTGAAAGATTCCCAACCATCGCAGGGGCGTCGCTTGAGGCGGGATGGGGTAGGGGTGTCATCCCCAATTATTCCTTCTGGCAAATACGTACCCCCCCCCCCTCCCGATTAAGACTGAGCATTTGAAAGTCATTTACTCTCCTCGTTAAAACGTTTAGTAAATTCAGTGATGATCATTGACAACGATTAATATATAATAATTCATTTTAATACGGGAAGTAAATGCTGTTCCTGAAGTCTTAAAAAGCCATTACGCACAAGCTCGCAGCTACTAACACCCAGCTATTATCTACTTTGTCCGGATGGACAAAATTTGATGGTTTTTTTTTTGCTTAGTTTTCAATGTCATCGGCGTATTAGCGATAGGCAGGAATTCAGCCACTCAGGCTAATGAAGATTTGCTTTTTAATAACAACGTTGCGAAATATGGAGGCATTACTGGCTGCACGCATCACTTCACCTAATATTAAAGAATTTTCTGAATAGGCCTATACAAGCCTGGTTGCAAATTCGTATATCTTGTGCGCCAACAGCCAACCCACCATTTTCAAAAGTAGTGTTTGCCAACTTGTGCCATGGAAGAATTCGTCATCGGCACAATGAACTCACACTCTAGCGCATGTGTACGTGTTCATCTTTTCAAACCGTGGACGAAAAATACCAGAGAACAAAAGAGAACAATATCGTCCACGATTCCCAGCATACGTCCACGATTGGGGTCGTGTACAAAACCTATGGGAGTCTTCCTAAAAAGTTACAGTACAAACAAAAGAGGGACACTAGGACGTCCACGATCGACGGTGAACACACGTTTGTGTGGGTGTCACTTCGTGCGCACGCACATCGACACTGACACCAAAATAGGAATATTTTCGTTTTCATGAACTGACACCCAAACATGATGCGGCAATTAAAAACGGAGAAAAACGGTTTGAAAGGTTTTACACGAATTTAATCCATCCGTACACACAAATTTTTATTAAAAAGCGTTTTAATTGGTGCAATTAAGGTCAGTGTCAGTTCGTGAAACCGAAAATGTACGGGGTGCACCGGTGCGCTCTAAAAGTGCCGCACTGTGGAGGATGTCAGTTCGTGAAACCCCAAATACGCGTAAAACATGCGCAGCTAAGTGTCAGTTCGTGCCGGTGCCGAAGACGATTTTTTGTCCTGCCCGCCCCCCTTCCTCATACAACATTCAATTACATATTGGCTAGGAATGTTAGGCCTACCGAAATTATCTGAATCCTCGAACTACGCAGAGGATAGTTGTGATGCGTTTGCTGCCTACACTAACAGGCTCAAGCGGTTACACCTCTATGTTCCGACACCCCTATGTTCCGACTGCACATGCATATTCCTATTCCTAACCCTAACCCTAACCCTAACCGGGAGGAACACAATCTAGGTTGTCGGAACATAGGGGTGTCGGAACATAGAGCAGTCACCGCTCAAGCAGACGAAGACCCCGCGATGCTTGAGGGGCACATCATGGGCACCATGATGTTCGATAAGGTTGAACAGCAGCTGCAGAACGCGTGTACTTGATGCGTGGGGTTTATACCTATACTTCACGAACACAAATGACCAATGTCGTCAGTCGTACAAGTCGTATCGGATTTTCTTTGTTCTGAGAAAAAAAACGGTTTAAAGTTGGGAATATTTTCAACGACTCATTTTCAAACAAGGAAGTTAACAATTTAATCCGCTTGATTCAGTCTAGCAGCAAACCGTACTTGTAAAATACTGTTTGTCTTGAAAATAATTTTGTTTAGGCCCTAATGTGTTTTTCCCCTCGAAATTAATCTGTTTCAGGTACACATACTCGTGTTTGTTAGCTTGTATGTTGTGTGCTTTCCCTGTTATGTAGGGAAAAGTTTACAAGCTTTTGCTTCACTTTTATCACTACATGTTGGTAGCTAGGATATTAATCAAATGTCTGCGCTCATGACAGTATCTCTGTGCCTAGGAATGAGCAGTTAGCGCTCTAGTAATTTAATATATCTCTATGGGTAGGACTGAAGGAAATGTTTGTTACAGCTCCGGAACCCACGTCAACATGGGAATATGAAATTTTGTGGATTGATAACTTCTCCTTCATCATCCCTTTATCTCTAAACAAAAGGTTGCCAAAACTGTCGATATTTGGCATCGACCAGTCAAATCATTATTAAATATTATTTTATTGGATAAGTCCATCTAATAAGGTCATGTAATTTTTACGCACGTTAAGTTATACAATATTTTTCTTTTCACTGTAATGTTCACACCTGTTTATATGTTTGTTTTCATAGATGCTGGAAAAACCCATGAAAAAAAATGCTGTTCATGTGGTCTTCTTCCTGACCCTACTTCAGACGAAACGGAGTATTTCATAGACATTAGATCAGGGAACCAGTCTATGTGGCTTGCACCCGTTCACGGATGTGTAACCGATATTTAAAACAAAACAAAACGTGGCCTCACTAAATTTGGTAAATTGAGAGCATAATTTGCAAAAAGTCAATTTCCGTGGTTGGAAATAATTTGAT